TCGAGTTGAATTGTGGTCAGTCTAACTCCCTGTAACGAGGATGGTGGTATGGTGGCGAGAGTGGCGGTTGACCCATCAGGGGAGAAGTATCTCAGGGAGCATGAGGGGAAACTGAACTTCGGTTCAGGATGGGTTCGGTTTCGACTCAACACATCCACCGAAACTCAGTAGGAGTGGGGAAGCGGCGTAGGCTGCACATAATGCAGATCAATCTACATCATTGCAAGGCCGCAGCCGCCGAACTACTCCTGTCCCTCACGAACTCGGAAGTGGACATTGCCTTAGTTCAGGAGCCATATATTTATAAAAATATGGTTTCTGGACTAAGGAATGCCAACTTTGATATCTTCGCCGAGTCCATTGGGGGACAAGGTGAGAACATGTATAGTAGGTAAGAAGAGCTTAAATTTAATCTTTCTATCTAATTACAGCAATTGTGACATGTGCTCTCCTCAGTCTATATGCCCTTTGAGGAGATGGATCCACCAGGCACATGTGTACGGAAGATGCTCGATGAAATGACGAGCACCTGCAACGTTATCTTGGGATGCGACGCAAATGCTCACCATTTTCAACGGGGTAGCAAGGACACAAACAAACGAGGTGAGTCCGTTTTTGATTTCATTTGATCCTATAATTTACGTATATGTCCGACTTTTAAAGTTAGGGGTAGAGAGGTGGTCATTGACTTAACCCTCTCTAATCTAGACGAGTCCGTCATCAGGAATTGGAGGGTATCTGATGAATGTTCCTTCTCGGATCATTTAAAAAATCTCTTCGAGTACTCTTTTGACGGAGATAGACAACAGCCTTATCGGAATCCAAGGAGACAAGGTGAGAACATGTATAGTAGGTAAGAAGAGATTAAATTTAATCTTTCTATCTAATTACAGCAATGGTGACATGTGCACTGTTAGGCTGGAGCACAAGACGGGGAAGGCCACCCTGCTCTCCTCAGTCTATATGCCCTTTGAGGAGATGGATCCACCAGGCACATGTGTACGGAAGATGCTCGATGAAATGACGAGCACCTGCAACGTTATCTTGGGATGCGACGCAAATGCTCACCATTTTTAATGGGGTAGCAAGGACACAAACAAACGAGGTGAGTCCTTTTCTGATTTCATTTTATCCTATAATTTACGTATATGTAATAGGGGTAGAGAGGAGGTCATTGACTTAACCCTCTCTAATCTAGACGTGTCCGTCATCAGGAATTGGAGGGTATCTGATGAATGTTCCTTCTCGGATCATTTAAAAATTCTCTTCGAGTACTCTTTTGACGGAGATAGACAACAGCCTTATCGGAATCCAAGCAGAACAAACTGGGAGAAATTCACGGAGCTAACGAACTCCCAGCTGACTCTTAACACAAACTTAGGAAAAATGTGGAACTCAACGGGGCCGTGAAAAATCTAACAGAGGTTCTCTTAGGTTGCCATAAGGAATCCTGTCCGCTCACACATCCTGGGAAGAAATCTCGGCCAGTGTGGTGGAACAAGGAACTTGGTGAGATCAGGAAATCGACCAGACGACTGTATAACAGGGCGCATAAGTCTAAACTCGACACTGATTGGAACTCCTATAGAGTTAGTTTCAATAAATACAAGAGAGAGATAAAACGCGCGAAGAAAAAATCATGGGTAATTTTTTGTGAGTCGATAGAAGGAGTCAACGACGCTGCTAGGTTTCGAAAACTACTATCCAAAGACCCGAAGTCCATCGGTAGTATTAAGAAGCCGGATGGAGCGTGGACGGACTCAGGTTCTGAGACTCTAAATCTCCTAGCCGAGACTCATTTTCCGGGTTGCAAAGACATGGGTACCATCGACGGTGATCGTGATGACACTTGGCCTTTTGCCACTCCGGATCTGGATCTCATTAGCAGGGTGGTTAACAGAAATAAGATAATATGGGCGGTCAACACTTTCAAGCCGTATAAATCGCCAGGACCGGATGGTATTCTACCGGCGATGCTTCAATTTGCCTCGCCAAGTATTTATCCGATCCTTGAGAGGATTTATACTGCGTGTTTGACTCTCTCGTGTGTTCCGGATCTATGGAACGAGGTAAAGGTCACTTATATTCCCAAAGCAGGGAAACCAAGTCACTCTGCACCAAAAGACTATAGACCCATTAGCCTATCATCCTTTCTCCCCAAGACTCTCGAAAGACTGATCGACCTGTAGATAAGGAGTCGCATAGACACCACCTCTCTCAGCAACTCACAACACGCATATATAAAGGGCAAGTCTGTGGAATCTGCACTGCACGAAGTGGTAGGCTATATTGAGAGTAACATGGAATATTCAAATTTTTATCAAAGTTGTAGCTTACGCGGACGACGTGGTGATATTGATCTCCGGAAAATTTCCGTCTACAATCTCTGAGCTTATGCAAAGAGCCTTACTGACGCTGTCACGCTGGGCCAGGGCAAATGGTCTTGGTGTAAATCCAACGAAGACGGAACTAGTAATGTTTACTAGGAAGCGTAAGCTCGGCGTTTTTATTCCACCAACATTGGATGGAGTGCAACTTCACCTATCTCCCGAAGCAAAGTACCTCGGCACAATCCTGGACTGTCAACTACGATGGAAAAGGAACGTTGAGGAGCGGGCGAAGAGAGTAATGATTGCACTCTATTCATGCAAGAACTCCATTGGGGAAAGCTGGGGGCTAAAACCATCGACTATACACTGGTTGTATAACACTGTGGTGAAGCCCATCTTGTCCTATGGCTCTATTGTTTGGTGGAACTGTCTGAGCCTCAAGTCGACATCTAGTAAATTAGACAAGGTACAAAGAGCCGCCGCGATTTTAGTTACAGGAGCCAGAGGGAGTACGCCACAAGCAGCTCTGAACGCAATGCTGTACTTCAAGCCTTTAGGCCTCAGCATTAAGTGTCAGACTGCGCGTAGCGCCCTAAGGCTGCACGAATAAAAACTATGGCGGAACTGTACCTTTGGGCATAGTAGTGTTCTTAATGAACCAGGTATAGCATTGGACCAACGCGCTAAACTAAGCGACTATATATCACCAATGAAATCTTCGCGATCTGGAAGGCAGCGGAATTGATAAAAAATCTGGATGCTGAGGTCGTTGAACCGGTGACTATCTTTGTGGATAGTCAAGCGGCTCTTAAAGCCATCAAATCTTGTCACATCAAATCCGAAACCGTCCTCAAGTGTAGAGCAGCTCTGGAAGAACTTAACCAGAGCTATCGGCTGTGTTGGGTACCAGGACATTGTGACATCTTGGGTAATGAAAGAGCGGACGAATTAGCTAGACGAGGATCTCATCCACCGATCTAGAAACTGATGACTTAATCAAACCACCCATATTTCTTCGACGAAACAGCCTGCGAACTTTGGCACAACGAACCTAGGTGCAACGTGTCAAGATCAATTTGGCCGACTCTGTCTACCAAAAGAACGCACTCACTATTGAACCTGAGCAAAGCTGAAATTAGAGTGATGACGGGAATCATCACTGGTCACTGCAACATCAGGGCTTTTACTAGTAAATGGGATCTTGATGCAACTGATTACTGTAGACTCTGTGTTGACGAGGAGGAGACGGAGACAATTGAGCATCTCCTGTGTCATTGCTCACCCCTGGCTTACAAGCGACACAGACTAATGGGTTCTCATTTTCTACCGAATCTCAGCTTCTTCTCAACAACCGAACCTGCTCCAATCTACAGCATAATTAGAAATATAAAGTGGTTAGGAGCATACAACCTTGGCACGTAACGCTTTTTCTGTCTGACTCATGGGCCATCGACCTTCATTCATTCTTCACTCCTTTAATTTACTAATCTTCTCCCCCCACAGATCTGTCTTTGGTCTCTTCTCTTCGCTGTATCTCTTCTTGTGGATGATCACAACGGACCTAACCGGTCTCAGAGTGTTGTAGTCACACATGTGACTGCACATCCCCAAACCTAACCTAACCTATCAAAAACGACTTAAAATTTCTACGTCAACAGTGATCCGATATGAAATTTTAATCGTTTCAACTTTACACCAAAATTCCAAAAAACCATAGTACAAAATTTTATATAATTTTTGAATTTTCATACAATTTTGGAAAGAATTTCCTCCCATATAAATAATCGTCCAATTTTATGCAAATGGCACAGCAAGCTCCCTACGTTCCGAACATTTGTAAATGACACAAAGTTGAGTCTAGGTCAAGTTTTCATGTATTGCAAAAACTGTTTAAATTTAAATATAGCATATATAATTTACTGCGTTTTCATTTAATAATCCAAATGGCTTAAATATGTTATAAGTCCATACAATTCCATACATGTGCCAAATCTTTTTAAATTGACATGTTACTCCCTTACATAATTTAATGCGTTGCAAGGATAAGATTTTTTAGCACCTCCAGTTTACATTTATACCTGTCTCACTTATAACTCAATCATAAGACCTATAAAGAACCGCACACCAAGATTTAAAGTTCTACCAATATTTACTAATATTGGTACCATTTATAAGTATTCGTTTGCTTTTAAAAAGTCTCTGAAAATAAGTACTAAAGAGTATATAATATCTTTAGTACTTATTTTCAGAGTACGAATTTTGGTAGCATTTAGTACGAATATCTAGTAAACCTCATACCAAATTTCAAGATTCTAGCTTTATTCGTTCACCCAATACCAAAAAATGCCAAATAATACGGTTTAGTATATTTTCTAGGACGATATTCCACAAACCCTTTCGTACTTCTCCATCACAATCCATCAGGAACCCTAATTCCACACACCAATACTGATTGATAAATTCCACAAACCCAACCTTAACACACCACATACGAGCCAATGTGGACCACATATATATTTTCATAGGTTCATGTTATGTATAATTTATAGTAATTTCATAAAATTTGGAAATATATTATAATTAGAATACATACTAAAAATATTATTGTTAATAAGAGAAAAATAATATAATATAATAATAAAAACGGCCAATGTCCTATAAATATGTTACCTGTAAATTATGCGAGGGTAGAAGCCCAGTCGTGTCACTATCCACACAACGGTAAAAATTGCAAAAATTATATCACATATTTTTTGATAATTTGCATACTTCGTCAATTTAGCAGCCTAGAATAGAAATCATTTAATACGTATCTTATAATTAATAAATATAGCCATACTTCTAGGAAAATGTCAGCACAGTCATGAATAACTAGAACCAAAGATCCAACTCGGTGCAAATTGCAAATCCAGCTTAAGGACATCAAAAGTAATGTTACCATGTGATGAACGAACATTTGCCAAAAGTCTTTTCGCTTTACGTCGAAAAATTGAGTCACCGTTAAGGACCAATAGAAAGCCATTGAAATCATGTAATACCACCAGATATCACCTGAAACAGACTTAAACATTTAAAATCAATTAAATGTATATTCAATATAAGCATAGAATATAAATAACATAAAATTAATAAGGTCCATTGCTATTAAATTAGTTTTTCCATTCGCAACACCTTGAAATATTCGTCGGAGTGATATTCTTCCATGATCCACATCATGGTGAGTTTTGAGATGGAATAGAAAATCAGTTGTGAAATCTATATTCAAAAACAACTAAAATTATTACATATTTTAGTAAGAAATTCATCCACTGAATAATTTGTAAAAACCTTTATAAAACAATTAATAATATCTACTACCTCTAATAGACGCAATATGGAAATCCGAGGATGTATTACTATTTAATATTTTTAATAATCACAAACTTGTCTACTTTTTAATGTAGGTAATCGAATCGAAAACGCTAAAACTTGCGTTGAAAATAAAAACATCTGCAGATTTGGAAAAATAGCAAAAATAAATGTCACACATTTTACAAAATGGTGTTGAAGCAAGCGTTGGGCGCCAATAAAAAAGCTCGTGAGGGTATTTGACATAGCTCCCTGCGAAGGATTTGGAAGTGAGTTTCTAACTCCATCTTCAAATAATTATCTACTTCGACACTTATTTTTTGTAAAAGGGTGATACTTCGTAATTTTACAATAACAAATGAATTGTTATCCAATTTCGATCGTCTGTAGTAACTACTTAGTTAAATGAAAGTAGATGGAAAATAATTTAACTGTCGTTCTATAAATATTTGTCATCGAATAAAAATTTGTGGATAATACTACATTTTCATTATAAAAAATCTTCGCCCTGAAACCTTTTTCATTGCTGTATCAAATAATATAAATATGCGCGGAAAAATATAATTGAATTGAGAAGCAAGAGGGAGGCATCTGGATTATTTTCAACCTTTTTCCCAAAGTCAACAGAATGCAACATCCACCACAAAAGGTAATGCGTATTGAGCAAATTAGAACATCAAAAGGCAATGATGTTTTTGAACTTATATTTTTGAACTTGATGATTTTAATGTGAAAATAGTGAAAGTGAATATGATGGCGAAGAAAAACTGAATGCACAACTTAAAAAAAAATTAATCATTTTCGAAAAAATTATCGGAATGGGCAGTCCAAAATTTTGTAAATCGTAACGCATAATAAGCTCTTGGTCATGTTAAGAGAAGAAGGAATCAATGTATCTAAAAACTGCAGGACATTAAAAGGAACTCCAAACGAAGTATACATTCATAGTATTTTAGGGGGATCATATCCTCATTATGGGTTAAAAGACTGTCAAAATGCCCACTTCCTTAGAAAAAGAATTGCAATTGTTGTCATCGCTACCATTTTATGTTTTCGACGATTTTAAAAATTTTGATCCCAAACTTCTAATAGAATGTGAAGTTCGGGAACAATTGGTAATAATAAGTTGTTATAAGTGATCAAATAGCAATTGAAATGACATGGCGTGGAACTATGCAAAAACCCAGTTTTCAGTGATTTACTAAATATAGTATAATAAGACAAAAGTAAGCTGACTTACTTTTGTGTTAATTTGAAATTAAAACATTAATTTTTACAGATATGTACCATCTTAAATTTCTCCAGACGTTGTGGTTGGGCCTAAACAAAGTTTGTCAACAACATATTTTACACGCTCGGGATAGAATACACAAAAAAACAACCGAAGACTGTAAATCAATAAAATTGTTGAAAATTTAACTATTATTATAATTTAACTAAATAATGTTTTTAGTTTTACTTAGTATTAACCTTAACATCAATATTATGTTTGTTTGGCGTTAAATGTTGACATTTTTTGCAAAATATAGGTTATTCATTACTGTTATTGCAATTACTCATTATTCATACAAGTATTTTACTTTGGATATCAAAAACTCACTACCAGGCTATATGGGTAATATGGTTATTTAAGAAATGAAACACGCATTCGTCACATCTTAAACGTATCTTCTTAGTGAAAGTTGAAAGTAACTAAGGCGATAATATTTAAGGTTGCCTGGTAGTAACTTTTTGGATATGTTTTGGATAGAAAATGCTTGCTGGGAGTAATTTAATGACAAATAAATCATAACACTGCTGATGAAATATATAATACTGTAGCTGGCATTCACGCATACTAAGTAAAAGGAAGGAAGCCCCCACGATCGGTAAGGATGAGAACGTTCGTAAAAAAGGATTTCGTTAAATTTCAGTTGTTGAACGCTTTGCAGCATCGGTTATATTTTGGTGTGTAAAAATTGGACGATATATTAAAATTACGTAGAACATACCTGATGTGGATATCCATACCAACAGTTCTTAACATCCCAAAACCAGGGCTTATCCCATAAAACTATGATTCCAAATATAAAGCTATATGTATAATATATACATCTCCAAGTATTTTCACAAAATTTTGTCAATGTAGATGGCTTGTCTTGCGCTCGTCTTAAACGCCACCAACGTTCGATCTGACGCTCAGTCATGTCTATGTGCTTTGCTAATGATAAAATCTGAAAAAATAAAAATAAATTATTAATATAAGCACAAAAAAGTATATATGGGCAATATTGCCAATTTTTTAACATAGCTGAAGCGGAGGTTCACCCCTTTATAACTCGGAAACTACTTAAGTATATGAAAAAAAGTGAATAGTTTTGGGTTAATTGATCTGTCGTTGCAAACTGTTCATGATATTGACCTCCAAACCTTATTTTGGTGGAAGCTGTGTCTACTTTAATGTAAAAAATGTGTAAAAACAGGTTGAGGCAAACCAGTTTTTTTATGTTCTCTATTGATTTGTGACTAAGCCACTCATTGCACGGCCTTAGTGTCAAAATAAAACTAGAAGCCAACAAAATGGGGACTACACCCCCTTTGTATCATTTTTCAAAATTTTAACTGCATCTACCTTTAAATGATGCTGACATTTTGAAGCTCGATTTTGAGTGTTTTTTTAATTTTACTTCTATCTTTAATACGCCAACAGGAATTTATAAAAATCGATTATACGATTATTGTAGTCGCGAATCTGCGTAATTTGATATGTATTATGTGTATGTAGTATGCACAGCTTCAGAGTAATACTCATCCGAAGGTGCGAATTTTGTGCGATCAAATTTCTAAAAAAACCTATTTTTCGGGGCAAATTTTTAGATCTGTCAACTGAATGATATGGGTACCCGCGATCAATAAGGTTTTCTACGTTTCGGATGATATAAAATCTTTTTCGTGAAAATCCATCTACTAGAACGGCGGGAACTGACCTACCAAAAACACGAAATTTGGCAAAAAAATGTTTTTGAAAATATCGCAGATTTATTTGCGTTTTCTGTTCAATAAATGACCTCATACGGATTTTGATCTTTTTCGAAAAGAGAACTTTAAAACCTTCAGCCGAAAGAGAGATGTACGCAATTTATCTCAAAAATAGATTGTGCTGGCACATCCATGGTTCTTAATGGACCACATTGAAATCGGTATAGATCGATGTATTTTTTTAGGGTGCACACCGAAATCGGATGCGCGTTAATGGCATATGGAGTTTTCGGAAATTATTCGCGTTTTACGATTTTTTGGGTACTTCGATGTAACGTGTAGCACATCTTAGCCGTCAAATGAAATTTTGCAAAATATATATGGATTGGAAGATAAACTTCAGTACTTCCTGGAAACCGCATGCGCATCAAATGATTTTGAGAATTACGCGATTTACACGCAATTTAAAATGTATATTTCATAATATTATTTTATTTTAAGATTTATTCCTATTTATAGAATTCTAAGATTTATCGGAAGGGTCTTGATATAATCCGCAAGGCGTATACTTACACACAAAAATTGATTATTAATATATGTATATGCCAACTTTTCGGCGAAATTCGGGTAAAATAGCAGAATAACCCCAAAATTTTTTTCTGAATTTTCTTGTATAAAAAATTAAAAAAATAAATATGATGACATTATTTTTTCGATCCAAAAACAAATATTTTTCCTCAATATATTGTTTTATTGTCGCTGTGATTTAGAAATGTAATAAACGGCGTAATTTTAAGATTTTTTTCTTATGCCCAAAATTAAAACCTCGATAACTTTTACGCGCATCAACCAAAAATTTGATCGCGAACGGTTTCGGAGTCAGAACATTTTTCTCTATATGTGTACCAAAAATCATTGATGTGCCACAAAAACAAAAAAGCTGATTTTGTAAATAGGAATATTAAAAAATTGGCAATATTGCCCATATACAGTATACAAATATTTTCAAATGTATCAGCTTGAAATAACACTAGTTATATTACTATTTGTAATTAGTTGTTATTTATCATACTCGTGTTGCACTTAATTCAGTTTGAGACAACCAAATTAAACTTTGTTTAATATTTCTATTTTATTCCAATTTATAGCATCCACCTGAAATACCATAAATCGTCTGAAGATGAAATGATACAATTTTTACCTGTTCTACAAAAAAATTTACAATTTAACAAAAAGTCAAAAAAATGTCAATATCTGAAACTGATTTCCCACATATATATATATATATATATTCTGAAAGCCCATGAAGTGACCTTTCAATCGTGGGTATTCGCTTAGTCCCAGGTTTTGAAATTTCGGGACAGTGGGCCAAAATGATGGACCATATCAATTACCAGAAAATTTAGAATTTAAATAAAGTAAAAAAATTTAAAATATCCGAAATTTATTTCGGACATAAACTATATATATTCTGAAGCCCAATTTATCTTCACGCTCATAACATGAGATACAATCTGTCAATTTGTATATTATTATATTTCGTTTCCCATTTTTTAATTACGTACTGTAGAAAAAAGGTTTCCGGTATCATCGATCTGTATTTTAATTTCATATACATATATAATATATAATTACAAATTTAAATCACATTAAAATAACACAGAAACTCACCTTTTTATGATCTAGTCGACTTGATTTGGAATATGCACTCTCCAGTGCTGGAATATTTGCTGCCTTTTTTGGTCTGGTACTTTTGATGCCGAGAGATACGCCGACTGGTGATACCCAGAATCTGCAATAAATTGTATTAAACAAAATGCAATATACTAAAAAAATCGTACAGTCGAAATAGCTTATAACTTTATAAAACATTAAACACTTAATACCCATGGTGTAATGTAATGTTTATATTTTGAGTGTGTGTTAGAATATTAAAAAATTCTTTTTTTTTAATTATTTACATAAACGTGCACACTATCTGGGTTACTTACAAAATCAAAAACTTTCACTCCACGCATTTTTAGTAATTTCAGAACTGAATAACATATGCAGTGTTTAAAATGATAGCTCTAAAATAAAAAACACCGTAAAGTTACAGATTTACCTGCTAAAATTTCTTCAAACATGTTACCCTACAGCGAGAATGTGATGACATTTTGTGTGAACATTTTCGTTAATGAAAAGCGAGCTGGCGGCTGTCAAGGGAATGAGGTCCTGCTGCAAAGAGACCCACGCAGTCGTCGACTGTACAAAGCTCTGCTTCGTTTGCGTCGAAGGAGAATCCTGCCAAGAGCGGTGATTGTATGGTGGAAGCCAAACACGCTGTCTCGAAGCAGGTAGCCCATAAACCTACAACGACGCTCAGCGACTCTGCTGCTCCAAAAGAGGTTCCGAAAGATCTGCGAGTAGTAATTATGGACCGAGCTGACCCTGACGGGATCATCAGAGAGGATAAATGGTTGCTGGTCGACAGCCATTTGAAGGACCTCTTCCTATCCGATGAGGTTGATCGACAGAGCCTACGGTTTGGCCAGACCTCCTTATACAAAGGGGTCAAGGTTGTTGTCACACTAAGGAGACTGCGGACTTTCTTAAGAAGGCAATTAACAACCTGGACCCTCTTTGGGAAGGTAGCAGACTGGCAGCTGTAGCGGTCCAAGAGATACCAAGTGGTATGGTAACCTCTGTATGGATCCCACCACTTTTTAACGGGCTGGAGAACACACTAAGGTTATTGGAAAAGCAGAATGACGGCCTTCAGATGAGGAGGTGGAGAATCCTCGCCTCATTTGAAAGGAACGGCGGTGTTGTCGCGAAGTTCGCTACCGATTCTGCGGGAGAGCAATATTTGAGGATGAATAAGAGTGATTTGTGTTATGGAATGGGGAAACTCTATTTCCGCCTCCCAAATCCAAAACAATAAGCGGACAGCAGCAAGCGCTAAGAACGTGTATTCTTGCAAAAAAAAAGACCTATATTTAATGCTTGCAGCAATGGAGATATGACGACAGTCAGGCTGGATAGGGGTACCTCAAAGCCCCTGATAGTATCTGCCGTCTATCTCCCCTACGAGGCACCTGACCCGCCCGGTATGGAAGTGTGCCGCTTAATGGAGGAGATGGGCAAAATTGGTGATATCATCATCGGATGTGACGCCAACGCACATCACTTCCACTGGGGAAGCAGTAACACCAACACGAGAGGTGAGTCCATTTTTAAGTTTATACTTAGCTATAATTATAGAATTTGTAATAAGGGCAACACAACAACGTTTGTAAATAGGGTGAGAGGTGAAGTCATTGACATAACCCTCACAAACATGGACAACTCCGAGGTTATGAACTGGGAGGTGTCTGAGAAATGCTCCTTTTCCGATCACAGACTGATACAAATTCCTAGCTACAGAGGAAAATAGAAGCCTTATAGGAATCCTCGGAAGATAAATTGAAACAAATTCAAAGCTAAAACAGCAGTCTCGACCCTGGATCATAAAGATCTAAAAACGGTTGAGGATGTTGAATTAGCTGTGAATAATGTCACGGCCACTCTTCTGAAGATCTATGAGGCTTCTTGTCCCCTAACATACCCCGGGAAAAAATTTCAGTCGGTATGGTTGTCACTAAACCTTGCAACCTTGCGGAAGGCTGCAAGGAAAGCTTACAATAGAGCTAGTAAGACAAAGCAAGTAAGACAAGATATCACATTTGCTACTGACATTACCTTCAGCTTATGATGGTGTTATTTATAACAGCTATAGAGACACTATCTGAAGATAATTTAACATTGGCATTTGTGAAAACTCGATTACTGGATCGCGAAATAAAATTAAGGAATGATAACCGATACACCAGCACAAAAGTCTTACAAGCAGTGGTTAGCAATCAAAGAAACACTTACAAAGACTTTTTACATAAATTTAAAAATAAAAGCAAATTTTAATCGTATAAAAATGATTTTAAAACCACAGCTAAGTGTCATTATTGTGGTAAAAAAGGACATATTAAAAAGGATTGCTATGGTTACAAAAAACTATTGAATGAGAAAATTCGAAATAATGGTGAAACGGGGAGTATATATATATATATGCAATCCGCCTACGGGAAGCAAAGCTGAATGCTAACGGACGCGTCCACATGTTGCGGATAGTGGGATGCCCAACACCATTCGTTGGGTAACTGTTAATAACCAATAAACAGTCGCGGACAATCAGCGGGCTCAGGGGGAGAGTCTCGGAGGAAATGACCGAGTGCCAGTGATCCCTGAGCCGACGAGGCGAGAATGGCGCCCCCTCTCATATATCCATTCAAGGTTTGGGACACTACCTTCCTAAAGTGTCCCCCCTAACGCTGGGGTGTCATGCGACCTCGTGCCTATCAGCGTTCCACGGTTTGCAGTCAGGGTACCGACTGTATTCGAACGGAGCCTTGTTGATACCTGGGCGCCTCAACAAGTGTTTCAGGCTTAGTTGCGAAGTCCTTGCCATGGTAAGAGGCTATGCCATGGTCGACCTCAAATCCTCACACACAGCACTTTTTATGGAGCCGACTTTTAATAACCCGCTGCCAAGACCCCTAAGGGTAAACTGAGTACTGAGACGTCTCAGACATCAGAATCCACAAAGACAGAAGGCAGGGAACTGTCGAAATCGGCTGGAAAGAGAGCCCGTAAGAAGGCCTCTAAGATGACCGACAAGGCACAACCGCCCTCTGTCAATCCACCTTCTGCCGAATTGCCAAAGCTGACAGCCAAGGCGGTGACAATTGGGCAGTCGTTAGTGGACAAGCAGAAGGTAGCGAACGTGAAGCAGGTGCCTGCGTCTGCTGGGCATACCTCTGCAGTAGCTGCTACCCCGGGCGCCAAATCTCGGCCTCAGCCCACGGCTGTTAAGAGAATGAGGTCCTCGGAGGAGCAACAACCTGCTGCAAAGAGGCCCACGCAGTCGCCGGCCGTACAGAGCTCTGCTTCCTTTGCTTCGGTGGTAGCGTCGAAGGAGAAACCTGCCAAGAGCAGCGATTGTGGGGTGAAAACCAAACACGCTGTCTCGAAACAGGTAGCCCAGACACCTACAACGGAGCAAAGCGACTCTGCTGATCCGAAAGAGGTTCCGGAAGATCTGCGGGTAGCGATCATCGACCGAGCTGACCCCGACGGGTTTATCAGTGAGGATAGATGGCAGCTGGTCGACAGCTATCTGAAGGACCTCTTCCTGTCCGACGCGGTTGATCGAGAGAGCCTGCGGTTTGGCCTGACTTCCTCTTACAAAGGGGTAAAGGTTGTTGATTGTCGCACTAAGAAGACTTCAGAT